ATGCTTTACTTCTGATGCTAAAAGTCTTTTTCTTAACATGTTTATCTTTCCTTTGCTTTCTCTACTTTTCACTAGACACAAGCATGGAAAGATATGAAATGCTTCTAATCTTATCACATGGACAGGCATTTATAGAAAGGAATTTTTCCTTTATATCTTTTCAATTTCTTTATTAAAGGAATTTTTCCTTTAATAAAGAAATTGAAAAGTGAAATGTCTCAATGCATCATCAGTAGTGTAGCTAGTTTGGGGGAAGAGGGGACATCTGTCCCCGGCCGCAGCACCCATGAAGTGCCAAACTGATGTTACAAAATTTTAGAATGAAATGTTTTTCGTTCTTGGCATACAGAAGGGGTCGTAAAATCTTTAGTTGTCCCCGGGCGCTGAAAATCCTAGCTACAGATCTATGCATCACACACAGGGTTAGTGCTACACATTTTCCCACCATATGCAATCTCTGTAGATCCTGAATTCTGCTGCCTTGTACCTTCCTAAATTCTACAATTTTGCCATTTTTAGATTTTGTTGCCCAATGTGTCGCTAAATTCTAAAAATTCTGCTACAACGGCTCTGTAACCGGCCCTTACCATATATCATTTTATATTTATTCTTAATGTTCATATAACTAAAGAAATAAAATTATCACCTTTTCCTATACATTCTAAATAGATTTAGTTTTTCAGAATGACAGAAATCTTTAATAAAATATCCAAAATTCTAAAATGAAGAGGAAACGTATTGAAGAAAGAATCCAAATACATAGAGAAAGAAAATTATTGTTCAAAGATAATATGTACAGTTATTATTATATAAATTAAGCAATTGTTTATAATTTCAGCCTTTGCTATAACTTTTCCTTTCCGTTTCCTCACCAGAATGAAAATCACTTAAGTAGTTTTTAAACTTAGGTTTTGGGGGTTGTAAGATATTTGAATTTGTTACGCGATAACTACATTACGACGAGATACAAATTTGTTACGACGTGTAACTGAGCCAGCTTAGATTAAAATTAAATCTGCAGGCTTTAATTATTAGTCCATATTTTAGTTTGAATTTACTGTTTCTGTTTAATTGGATCACCTTAAGCTGTAGTTGATTTTGCTAGCATAAGAACATGCCTTCATGTAAATACTAAGAAGTTTATTTAATCCTTTATCTCACTTTGTATTTACTTTCAGACCTGGCGATAATTTGCTTCACGTCTGTCAGGAGTTTTGGTCTATTTAACTTTTATCAGCTCAAGTAAAACCTCATAGGTACATAGCCGAGAGATTGGCAAGTTAGGAGATAAAGGGTATCTAACTAGTTAATTTAATTATTTGTAACTAACTGGTCACCCTTAAAAGTTATCTCTGCATATTAAAGTGAGTTATTGCCTTTCATTAATCTTTACCGTGGTCACAAGATGCAGCACAAAAATATAAAGATTAATGTAAAACTTAATTCTTTGCATCTAGTGAGAATTAAAATAATGAAAACAACTTATCACCTCTGATAGTTTTATCTTATCACTTTAGTGGCTTATTGGAATCTTATAATATATTAACTGGGTTACAACCCCAGGAACTCTATATGAAGTTATGACACTAATAGCGTCAGACAGGCAGAGCACAACTAACTTTCAAAACTTGCCAATCGTGCCTACATCAAGCTTTCAGTTTGTTCTGATCAGCAGGCCTCTCTCTAGGTAAGCAGCAGCGGCGGCAACAGCCAGTCTTCCGTAACGAATTATGTTGATTATAATTGTAGTTGATATAAAACCTACCTGCTATTTACCAAACCTCTAAGCTGAGCAAGTACGTGACAAAATGAGACATAAAAGAAAAAATCAGCTTAATAAAACGTAAATAAAATGTCACTATCTTTCAAATATGTCTTACTGTTATAAGGGTAAAATATTTAATGCTACCTGGTAAATTTTATAAAGTTGATTTTATTTTCAAATTTGTTTTATAATTATGTTTATAAATTATGTTTAATAATAATTCATTCTACCTGTGGATCTATTTTATTCTAAGGATAATATCACAAAAGTGAAATTCAGGCATATAGCTAATATCTTTCATGGAATTAATTCAGTTCCCATTCGTTGATGGATCCTTATTGTTTTCATTAATGGTCCTTAAAAGTGTTTAATTTCTATGTGCAGAAATGTTTACGAACCCTGAAGAAAAAAAAAAGCCCGCTTGGGCGTAAAATGAAATCTGAAAGCTATCTGGTTTTAGCAGAGTGTACATCTCGTCTTAAGCAGGTAAAACCTCAGATGTTTTCCATAATTGATTACAACAACAGCAATTAGCGCATTGTAGCATACCGGTGGAAAATAATTTCCCCACACATAGAAGGAATTCTCTTCTCCGCATCAAAATATCTATGAATCATACATGAAATAATGAAGTTAATTATATTTTTAATGAAGTTAATTTATTATTTTAGTGCGATCCTTTTATTAACCCCTTATACAATGACGGGCATAGCCCGCGTACTATGGTCGGGCCAAACCTAACTTTCACGGGCATAGCCCGCGTACGGTGATCGAGCCAGAAGTGAATATTACGTGGAATATTTGATACGCAATTAGTCTGATGCAATAACTGTGGTAGACGCAAGTATTACAAAATGTTTATTTATACAAAACTCCAAAATACAAAATTAGTAATCTGTAACGGTATGATATATTTCAAAGCATTCTGGTACATGTAACGGAATTTTACATTTTTTACACCCCTGTTCTATGTGGATTTTCTCGTACTTGATCTGCATACTGATTCGTTTCGGTTACAATATTGTTCTAAAATATGTCATCAAATATTAGATTAAATATATCAAATTCTCCTCTACTTCCTCCTAATTGACATAAGGCTTCCTCTCTTATGCCAGGAGTCATCGTATAGTCCCAGACTTTTGGATTATTTCTCATTTCTTTCCAAAGCCAGGACTCTGGTAGTTGATCGTCATCGGATGTATCATCAATAATTATTCGTCTATACTTTCTTCGAAAATTACATAATTCGTCATGTTTACGATTGCCCGGATTAGCGTGTTACACAAGTCGTGCAAATGTCCCGAACGCTGCGCGAGCTTGTATACAATTTCGGCCCAACATCTTCGAATCTAAATCATAGGTTAAGGGGTTAAGCACAACGGGATCTCTCACCTTTCCCTCGTCTTCTTAGAAAGGTTACCTGGCCTCAGCAGTATGGTCACCTTGTTCCTTTCTTCAGATTTAGTTATAAAGAAAGTAAATCATAATACACTCATGTCCATAAATTAAGGATAATTCAGAGTCACGCGAAAACCGAACTCTAAAATAAATATATCACCTGTAAAATCACTACACACATCTTCAAGAATCATATGCAAATTTCAGGAAGTAACCAGATGACACCGATGGTACGTCACAATGACGAGAGTGTAAGAGAGTGATATATAAGGAATACAGACAAAGAAGTAAAAATTGTTCGCAGGCGCTTTATAAGCATTTCAGTGCAATAAACGAATAGTTATGACACAAAGGACGCATTTGGATGATTATTTTACGTGGTAGAATTATAGGCCGTGTGGACTGTGGGCGTACCCAACTGGAAGTATCAGACGAACTTGGAATTGCCCAGAGTGTCATCTCCAGGCTTTGGCAAAGATTCCAAGATGATGGTAATGTGAGTAGACGTTACAGCATAGGTCCTCCAGAGTTACAACACCGAATGAGGACCGGTATTTGGCAGTTACTGCCAAAAGAAACAGGCGGAGCACAGCCTCAGACCTGTCTCGTCAGCTCTCTTCAGCCACTGGTGCGACAATTTCAAGGCAGACCGTGTACAGACGCTTAGGGCAGATTGGTCTATATGCTCGTAGACCTGTCAGATGCGTTCCTCTTACTGCAACTCACTGTCGCCTGCGGTTAGCCTGGAGTAAAGAGAATGCATTGTGGACACCGCAACAGTGGGCTTGTGTGATGTTTTCCGGCGAGTCCAGGTTAGCTTGCAGTCTGATTCTCGCCGAAATTTCATATGAAGAGCTCCAGGTACCCGTTACCACCAAGAAAACATCATTGAACGACACCGTTACGGTGGTGCAGAAGTGCTCTATTGGGGTAGAAATTATTCTTGGTTCCAGAACTGACCTGCATGTTCAAATTGGAACCATGACAAGCCAAATCTATCGGGACATCATTCTGGAACAACATGTACGCTTGTTTCGGGGCGCCATGGGCGCACAATTTGTGTTTATGGATGACATTAATTTGTGTTTATGCCCGTCCTCACCCTGCAAACATCGTAAGCGAATGCCTTCAATCGGAGGATATCACCCGTATGGACTGGCCAGCATTCTCACCGGACTTAAATCCAGTAGAGCACATGTGGGATATGCTTGGCCGACGAGTTGCAGCCCGTCATCCTCCTCCTACATGTCTACCGGAACTTCAGAGAGCATTGCTTTTTGAGTGGTGTAATATCCCCCAAGATCAGATCGATGATTTGATACTCATGTATTAGCAATCATACCAACCACGTATTTTTTTTTTTTTTTAATTTGCTCCAGGGAGAAAAAATCGCTACTTTTTTTAATAATATCAAACATGTATCATCTTTTTTTGCTCTTTACCTTTTGTTTAATAAATAAGCTTTACAAATAAGTCAAATTTGTTTTGCTTCTAACTCTTCCTTTGCCTGATTTTGCAGTATCCTTAATTTATGGACATGAGTGTAATATAATGGGTGGAAGGTTAAAATATTAATTAACACATCACTTTTAAATGTGTTAAATAGTAGCTAAATTTATCACTTAATTTCAAGCAATTTCATGCTTTTCTCTAGAAGTAATGAAATTTCATATGTTTGAATTTCACTCGAACATCTACACATTTAAGTGATATATAGAATTTCATCAGTTGTGCTGAAATTTTAATTTATATAACCTAAAATTTAATTTGCTTCATATATTTAATTTGTGGTCTATCGTAATGATGATTTACAATATTCTCATTATATTTTTGATAGGATGTGAATAATTTAGAAGAAGATCATCTGAAGATTTATCATAAGATTTATGATGAATTGCAATACGAATTTACTTGCATTGAGGAAGGAATCCGTTTGAGAATGTTCTCTGATGAATGTGCGGAAGCACACTAAATTTCGTTTATAAACCTATTGTTCAGTTCATTTTGGATCTGAAATAAAGTTTATTTGGTATTAAAGTTTGAATATTATTATGTTTTCTTTTGAACAACTTTTTAGCTTTTACTCTATGTTAAGACCCGTCTTCAAATATATAGTAGATATTTTATGTAAGTTAAATAGTTTAGAATCTGCTATTTTTTTCCATTTTAATGTTTTATTTTATATAATTATTATCACTTATTTTTTCAGATAGAAGGTATTTCATTATTCAGGATATAATAATACACTGACTACCAATAAGTATTTGGACACCTATGCAAATGACGATATCTGTCGTCCTAAGGTACGTCACGGACTCCGCCGGTATATATCGTGTGGGAAACAGTATCGGCTTTAGTCGCATGCAAGATGCCTCGCAGTTTGGAGCTCTCTGATTTCGAGAAAGGTATAATTACCGGGTATCACAAATGTGGCCGATCCTTAAGGGGCATATCTAGTTATCTGAAGTACCGAAAATCAACAGTGGCCTATGTGATTAAGAAGTAGAAGGTGAGCGGTGATTGTCGGAATGTACCCCGAGTCGGCAGACCAACGAAACTGGGAGATAGAGACCGACGAGTGCTGTCCAGAGAAATTCGGAAGAACCGCACCCAACCGATGGCCCTCATCCGCGAGGAGTTTCAACAGGCATCCGGGAGTATTGTTTCAATGAATACCATCCGTAAGGAAGCACATCTGCTTGGTTTTCATGGTCGTGCTGCTGCCCATAAGCCTTTGATCACAAAGTCCAACCGCGCTGCTCGGTTAATGCAGTGTAAAGCACATCGAAATTGGACCGTAGATCAGTGGAAACGGGTTCTTTGGAGTGACGAATCAAAGTTGACCCTTTACCGTTCGGATGGCAGGGTCTGGGTCTGGCGTCTACCTGGAGAACGTCTCCTGCCAGAATGCATTGTGCCGACAGTCAAGTTCGGCGGAGGTGGAATTATGGTCTGGGGGTGTTTTCTCCTGGTATGGGCTGGGGACCCTTGGTCCCATTCATGGTAAGCTCAACTCCGATGCCTACTACACTATTTTGGATGACAATGTGCTTCCTACGTTGTGGGACAGTTTTACGGATTGGACCCCTGTTACTTTCAGGACGACAATGCCAGTTGTCATGTTTCGACGTTAACCAAGGCTTGGTATGGTGCCAATGGAGTTCATCGAATGGACTGGCCTGCCCAGAGTCCAGACCTGAACCCTATCGAGAACCTCTGGGACGAGTTGCATTGCCGAATTCAGGAGTGCACTACCCGTGCAAAATCGGTGAAGGAACTTCTATGTCATCTCCAAGCCGAGTGGAAGAAAATATCACTAGCTGTCATACAAAGACTTGTGGAAAGTATGCGCCGGAGCGTCCACGCTGTAATTACCTCTCGTGGAGGCTCTACCAACTATTGATTTTGAATAAAGTTAGTTTTTCTTTTATATCACAGGTATCCAAATACTTATTGGTAGTCAGTGTATAACTGTCACGGTGTAAAATAAAGGGTGAGTATAGTATATTTTTGATGTTGCTGATGCAATAAACTGTTGCGTGAAATGTATCCGATTCGATTTCATAATACTTTCTTTCTCCTAATAAAATACTTCAGTTTTACGATTAATAAAGTGTCTGGTAAACTTGATATTTTGAAGGACAACAACAGTCTTCATCTTAGTTTGAAATTTTCATAGCGTATTTCAAGCTTCTATGCAAGACACAGTTCAGAAAATGATTAATGGCAACAGTTAGAAAAAATTTTCAAAATAAGTGACAAAATATGTAAGTAAAAAAAAGCATTTTAACAATATTGAAGTAGACAGACATTGAAAGATAAGTGTCAACGATGTAGCGGGAGTTCTGTGGATATTTTATCTTATGATTCTGAGCTTTTACAGGACTAGTAATTCTTTTTACAATGTGAGTAACAAAATGTGAATTCAGCAGTAAAAGTTTTCTATTATAATTCCAGCACATATACCTTCAGTGCAATATTAGCTTTAAAGGAGAAGAATAAAATATTCATTAAGCAAACAACGCTTAGATATATGGCATTTTGAATATAAATGGCAACCCGACTCGGGACCCGAATGATTTATCCGGTTGAGAATAACCAGTCTTTAAGACTTCAAGATTTCTATTCATTTTCTTTTTCAGGTGCTTAGAATTTCCATCAACAAAGCCTTAATCCGAAAATTATTTGGAGATTTCGTGAAGTTTCGGTTTTATCTTCACCCAAAGGTAACAAGTAAAGAACTTTTCAACGAATATTGAAAGTAGGATAACAGGGCGTTTTGTTCTCTAGCCAGGAAATATCTACAAGTGTTAGCGACAGAATGGGCTATGCCCATCTCTGATAATTTGAAAGTGATTCAACTCAAAGATTTAATCACAAACTCGGACACATATGAAGAATTCGTAAAGAATGAACATCGTGTTGACCAGCATAACTGATTGGACAAGGCAGCTCAAAACGACATTTTAGTGTTAGCTGAAAAAGTATCTTTTTGCGAGAGTAAAAAGCTGCTGAAGGTGAATGCATCGAAAAGGAGCGTCATTTCGAGTTGGAAAAATTGAAACTTACTCTAGAGTTATAAAAGTATTTATTAAAAATAGGTTACAGGTCAGGAAATAGATCAATCCAAAATGGATATTTCTGGAGTTGTCCCTAAATTTAACCCTAAAAGAGATTAAATTGGATTGTATTTTAAAATTTTTGAACGCCAATTAATATTTTTAACTGTTCCAGGATCAAAATGGATTTTTACCTGATCAGTTGATTGCCAACAGAAACTGCACAAGTTATTGCTAAAGAAGATGACAAAAAATCTCAAGATTACTGAAGAATTAAGGAAAGGCTTCTTATGTGATTCAGAATCTCTGCTGACCGTTTCAGACAGTTTTTCCCCCGTTACAAGAAAGGCCCAGATACAACTTGGAGAAATTTCTATTTGAACTAGCATCACGTTTTTAAGAACGGATAACAGAACATTAAAGATTCTGAACAGCTTATAAACCTAATTATTAGCAACCAAGTTAAATAAGAAAACATTCAGATCTTAAAGAACATTTCAAGGATTTGTAGGCAGAATGGAATCAGTCATTATAGGTAACAGAGACGTTGGCTGTCTATAAAAATGTTCGTCGTGGTTTAAATGAAACTTCAGCGTCATCTAGGGAACAAAATTTTAGAAGTAATTTCTCGACATCATATAGGAAAATTTAAGTTCACTGCGATATCTATAGAAGCTAACCACAAGAATACAACAAGAAATGTATTCTCCAAGAACACGAACTGTACACTATAAAAAAAACCATCCAGTATATGGGGATAGAACTCCTGGAGACATACAACCCAAATATCCTACCTGCTCAGGATCCAAAGAAGAAGCAAAAGTGTCGTTAAATAGTGTCAATTTGTGTACGTTCGAATCATCTTCATCTCCATCTAGTTTCATTGTCCTTAAAATTTGTGGACTGAAAGTGTATGCTGATACTGGTGCATCACTTTTTTTTTTTTTTTTTTTTTTGTGGGACAAAAATTATCCTATATGCTGCAAAGTAAAATTTAATTCGAAACACATTTTTTGACACTCACTGAAGGAACAAAGAGCAACGTAGCTGTCTTGACTAAGGTTCTTCATTTTAATGTTGAAAGTAAAGTCGTACCCACAAAGTTAATTGTTTTGCCGGAAGCAAAAAGAAATTTTTTAGGACCAGACTTTCTCCAACTTGCTGGCATTGTCGTGGATGCTCTTAGTGGTTTTTGGCATTTCTGTGAAAAATCCTCCCTTTCTGTAAGATTGCTTTCTAAGACTGAAAATTCTACATCCATTTCTGATTCTCAGGAAAGAATTTCAGACACTTCCAATTCCGTTAAAATTTTTAAAACATCCTATTTAGTAAATCTTCGACGTGACGAAGGTTATCATCTTCTGAATACAGAACAGCGCACCCAACTAAATCGCTTGCTGCAAGCATTCACGGGTTGCTTTGAACCATAGGAAGATCCAACCCCATATAGTGAACACCGTATTAATACAGGAAACAGTCCACACGTTACAGAATGCGAGTCCTGCAAAAGGAGAATTGCTGAAAAAAGAACTGTTCTGCCCTGGCTATTAGTATAACTAAAGAATGCGAATTTTTTTATGCCAGCCCTGTTGTATATTGGTGACTAAACCAAAAGGTAACGTAAGACTCTGCGTCAACTATTCGCAAACTAAATGTCACTATTGTTGCAGACATGTACCCTTTATCACATGTGGACGGTTTCTCACAGAAGCAAAGTTCCATGGCCCACTAGTCAAATGATGAAGAGATGCTTGAAAGAAATAGAATCATCTTCATTCTACGCAGTTAAATGAATCTCAATCCAATGAAATTTAAAGATAATCATCCTGATTTTGTGCAGTTCTAAGTGAATCATCCCGATTTAAAACTTTAAAATAATTTTAAAAAAATTTTAAATAATAAATTTTAAATAAATCATCCTGATTCGATGCATCATCCCACTTAGTAAAGTTTGAACAGAATCACCTTCATTTTATGTAGTTTTAAATGAATCTCCCCGATTCAGTGAAGTTTTCAAGTATCATCCAGATTCTCTGTTGTTTTGATAGACTCTTCGCGATTTTTGCAGTTTAACACAGAATTAAAAACAAAAGTTGATGTCACCCACGGCTTAAGAACGCTAATCGACAACAATAACTTTGTGGATAAAATACCCCATACCTCAAACGATTTGTCTGTTTGTTTAACAGCAGAGATTAATGATCACGTCGAACAAGACACGAGAAAAACATATGATCGTCAACGACAGAGCTTCCTACAAACCTGGTGACAAAGTACACATTCTATTAGCAGATCACAAACTAAAAGTCAAAAATTCATGCCCAAACTTGAAGGATCTTATTTAATGATCACCAATCGCTCCTCCGCTACATATGATACTGCTGACCTGGCTGAGCCAGATGAAGTCCTAACGACTTAATCACAGGTCAGCCTTACGTGTTGATGAACTTTTCGTTTCAAGAGACAGTGGGACTGTAA